GAAGTCTCTAGCGCCTTCTTTCAACTTAAGCTAGGCCACTGTTACCTAAGAGACTTTCTCTTTACGCGAGACAAAGTAGACTCTAAAGTTTGCCCCCTGCAACTATAGAGCTACTCAAGATCCTACCCATATCCTCCTTAGCTGTACGCTATATAAGGAGGCTAGGATAAAGATGCAGGAGGCGAGCAAGGACCCCCTATCGCTAGCCTTCCTGCTAAACACGAGCGTAGGCATACAGGCTACTATTGCCTTTATTGAAGAAACTAGGGCTGCAACACAGGCCTGGCACAAAGGAAACCTCGAGAACTAGGGCAACACCTATACTAGGTGGCCTCGCCCTACACCCACCCTACCTCTCTCTTTTACCCGCAAGACCCCCTTCTACCTCCCTCTAGACTAGGCTACGAGCCTCACCTCGATTTAGATAGCCCCCTCCCCCACCTACACCAAAGTGATAGCACTACGTAGATACTTGCGGGCCTAGCCTGCACGTCTTATATAGCCCACCGGCTGAGACAGGACGTAAAACCAAAATAATAATAATAATAATAATAATATAACCGTTTTATGACTACGACATGCCAAGCTTTACTAAACTCCTATTTTAGTGAATTAGTTCTAGTATAGAAACATGGGGGAAGATGCTCCATGCAAAAGTTGACGCTGTTTTGAAAACACTAGTTGGTATGTGACTGTAACGATGTTACAACCTCACCAAGCATCAGACCAGTCCCAGAGCCGGATCGGAGGAATTATCAGCCGCCCCCTTATCAGCTATGCATTCCTAGTCGGATCCGAATCAGATCCGATGAGGGCAGGTATATATAGAGACACTCCCTGTAGCTAGCTCTGTAGACTTTTGATATCCTTTCGTACAAGGCCTATAGGTGTCTATTCGAATCAAGGCTCGTTCATTGTCCCACGCACTCCCATATGCCTCTGAGTGACACTACTGCCGATACTGATCCGAGTAGTCTTGCCTGCGTCGTTACAGTGACCGCATAATGGAGACCCTCGCTGGCGACTCGCTTGGGTTGGCGACTCGCTTGTGAACCACGTTAGTACTACATTAAGAGGGTAAGGTTTAAGTTTAAGCAGGATTAAGCTGACAATAACGCAGAAAAACCTTACTCTAATACGCGGAAATATGCTGAGAAAATTGCTTTCAAGTTCTCTTTCTGAGACTAGTACATAGTAACACTAACTATATCTGCTTTATTGAGGATATACATATTTTCTCGGCGTGATATCAGTTAGAGGACAGAATACACTTTATACAATTAGGCCTCTAGAGATTAGCATTCTATTGATCCGAAGCACAGACTACAAATAGGGAATTGAGGCTGATCTTTCAAAAAATGATTGTCAGCTCGGAATATTTAAAGTTTCTCTTGCAAAGCTAAAAACAACCTTTATTACATTTCTTATTGCAGATAACTACGCTTTATAGTTGAATGCAACCTAACGAAGCTGAAACTCCTTCCATACTTTCTTTGGTGCAGGAAGTGGTCGCCATACTTCTACAAGTGGTCGCAATGCATCGTCATCCAGATTTCCAAGCCTCAATCTCCTATCCTCAGAAACCGTCATCATATCACTATCCATTTTATCAAGACCTACTCGCTCATGTCATCGTAGGCGTGACAGAATTTCTCCATGTTAACAACGCTACCATCTTCAAGCTGAATCGAGATTTGAAGATCCTTGTTCGGGTCCAGCAGGTGCCATTCCCGGTCTTTTATTTCCCACCTTATCTTGCTTCGCCAACCTGTCCAGGACCAAGACGGAAACCCCTCACGCCGCTCTGCTGGTGCAACAACCCCAACATAATCCCCTACAAAATCCAGTGAGTGGAGACAGTTCCTGTACACATGGCTTTGATTCCCGACCAAGCCTTCGTTGTGAAGATGCCGAAATCATCGGCACGCCAGCACAATGTAACACTCGTTTCCGGCTCCTTGCAAAGGCGTGTAAGACGTCAAGAAACCCCTTCAAGTTGTCAGTGGAATCGGTCAACTGCCTTTTAGTGTATTCTTCGATTCTTTGGACTATCTCCCATCCTAACGTGCCGATTCCTCTCGGGAACATCCCGATGTTGATTTTGTCACAAAATTGTGCTCTGAAACGGTGGCCGCTCTGAGTATGGAGGCTTCGTAAGGGGAGATTGAGAGCTACACAACAGTACATACCAGAGCACTCGAAGTGGACCTGGCTGTCGATGAAGATAAGTCGTCTGGGAGAAAGAATGCCTTCTTGATAAGTCCAGCCTCGTTGAAACCATTTTGAATGTTGTATTTCGTCTCTTGGATCTGAGAGAGACGATACTAGCATGTGTCCTCGGACTATTCCATGCGGTTGGGGTTGTCTGCATCTTTTTCCGACACCTGGGAGGCCGTGATTGGGGGTTGCTCCTGCAGCGGCAATAATTGTGAGATGTGCGTTGTTGAGACATGACGCGTTATAGTGTCGACGTCGACGCGCTGGTGGGGCGTGAGCCATTCACTTGTGAACCATGTCAGCCTCCTGTATATGATCGACTTCGATACCGCCAAAGAAACAGGCTGCGGTAGTGGGATCTACCCGAAACGAGGTGGAAACAATCGACTGAGTATGTATGCGCTCTACTACTCCTATAAGACGTGAGTAATCTAAAACTTATTACGCGGTTAGCGGGATTGACGTGTTGAATTCAAAAGTTGAAATTAATATTTACAACTTGACCACAGCCGTTTACGTCGTGACTGTAGTCTTGGTAATTCAGAGTATGTGTCACGTGAGTATGAGCGACAAAGGAGCTTCGCGGTGCGCGGCCACTTACGTCAGAGACGAGAAATAATTGGCTCGTACCAGACTGGCTAGCTGAGTCATTAGATGATTTTGCGACAGATAACAAGTTAGATTCATCTCAGGTTGACAGGCGCACAACTGCACGCACCGCGCAAAATTTTATTGTCACTATATTTTATAAATATCTCTTTTTCTACATCAATCAGCAATCTTCAGTAGTATAGTGGTCAGTATTTCCGCTTGTCAAGCAATTGACAAATCGCGGGAGACCGGGGTTCAATTCCCCGCTGGAGAGCTCGTCCTTTTTTGTTTTTTTTTCTCACAAAGATCTTTTGTGGTTTGATGAGAGGTAAGCTAGGGCTGATTCTGGTGTCCGTGCACTAGTTTTTTGTGCGGGGACGCGCATGCGCTGAGACTAAGCGAGGGACCAAGGTCTTGAGGTATGGAAATGAGCAAAGCAGGGCTTTTCGACCTAGTATAGTAGTGCCCATGTGTAAAGCACCGGCGGAGTAGAATTCCATTTGTACGTTTCTATTTTATTTCGCTGCAACGTTTTCTTGACGAATGACTTTCGTACTTGATCTCAGTGCATCTTCTACATGGCTCCCTGGTCGATCTTTCTATAACCAAACATATGCTAAATGCCTTTGGCAATACAAGAGGCAGGTAGGCGTCACTAGCAAGCGTACATTGTCTCTATATAATGTTGACCAGACTAGAAGGAAAAAGTAATGTGTTTAAATGCACAGAACCCAGCTCTCTTCCTCGTCGAATCTTTGCTGATGAGACGTCTGTTCTTTCAGACCTCTGATCTCTTCATCATGCAACACCGTCGATTGAGTGGTGGGTACGATTTTCGTCTACCATTAGGACACCTATAGCTTGGTGGTTGCATCTACACCAAGCTGAGCTGAAAGTCGAGGTGCGCCTAGAGGTGCCGGACGGGCCAACGCCGCGGACGGGCCAACGCCGGATTACGTCCTCCAACACCAATTATTCCATCCACTTCAACCACCCATAACGTGACCACAATGCAATCAATTGACGCTGCGCTTGCTGCTATTAACGCTTTGAAGCCTAATGAAAAACTTGTGTATTCTCAAATTGCAAAAAAATATGGTGTTGACCCAGGAACGCTGAGCCGCCGCCACCGAGGTATTTCTCGCTCCAGACAAGCAGCTGCACAAAACCAGCAGGCAGTCCACCCACAACATGAAGCTGAGCTTATCGACTATATCGATAGACTCACTAAGCGAGGCCTAGCACCCACACGGAGTATCATTCGAAATATCGCGTCGCAGCTAGCTCAGAAGCAGCTCGGATATCACTGGGTTGATCGCTTTGTCATCGTAACTCGCA